TAAAATATTAAAATTCCTATGTACCCAGACTTTGTGGACACCCTGTAGATTGCCATGAGCCGGAATATTCAGTCCCTGAAGGTGGATAGACAAAACAACTACCCGAAACATCAGATACACAGTAAAGTTCGCCTGGTTAACACTCTTCATCCTTCTGGCTTACTACCTGGGAATCGCATTTTCACTACTATTACATAAACCTAAGCCTATTTCTCCTGGAATTTGGCGTAAAGTCGCTTGTCCCTCTTCTAGTGTCCTCTGCAGAGGGCCATATAAGTCATCTCTACCCTAGCCACCCCTTCGCTTCACCCATTCCCTGTAGGAGTCTAAGGCGTGACTGTACTCAGAGCACTACAATTATCACACCAAGTCCCATATAGGACAAGGAGGGGTAAGAACAGTAGGAGTTGTTTATTGTATACATAAACTCGTTGGTGATCTGAAGCCCCGACGCGTGACGGGCCCGGGGTCCTGCACGCCCGTTTGTCTGTTGGGGTGGTGTGGGCGTGAATGCATAAAAGTCATGCGAAAGTAAGTCACTGGCCGCTTGATCAACTGCTTGGCCAATAGCAGTCTACTGCACATGTGATTGGTCTTCCAAGAAGCAAATAGAGGAGCGCAGTCACGGGACCGTTTGCGGGCTTGGCGTCGCTGCTACGCTCTCTCCACAATGATATTTCTTCTTGTCCACATCTTTTTAATTATTTCAACAACAATATAAAAGCATCGGCCTAGAGATACTTTATCGAAAGCTGACTTATGCCCACCAACTTGTCTTTTGAGATTTCATGTGCCCAATTTGTGTTCAAAAGGCAAAGAAAACTCAAAAAATAATCCATTCTTCTGTTTTTCCTTTCTCCTTTACAGCTTATTATAAAGGAGGCTCGAAGGATTCGGCCAAATCTCGAGTTGCGGCTTGCAGACACTCTGAGGGAATTGTCCCTCACGTCTGACGTTCTATATCGATTTGCTATAGACTCCAACACTCTAGACAAAATCAAAGCGCGTGGTGACCAAATCGCGGTTCGCAGCATCCACGTCTCGATCGACGATTACTACCTCTTGGTTGAGTACGACGTCACAGGGTTGCCTTGCATTTTTTGTGTCTGGAATCAGGCCACGAAAAACCTCCTGGCTGTACTCACTGGCCAGCCCGAGAGCCAGTTCCGTTTCAGCCTGGACCCTGGGGCCGGTGAGCTGCTCCATTTTGTGCCTAGTTCATCCAAAGTTCCCGGAATTGAAATAGTGAATTTGACTCATCGCAGCGACCCCTCCACTGCTCGAGACAATGCCAAGCGTCAGTCGAGCCGAAAGCTCTTTACTGTTGGTAGCAGGGGCATCACAGATGCACGTTTCGTTAGAGGTGGAAAAATTCTAATTTGTACCGGTGGCGAACTTATCCTAGCTTTGAAAGCTGAAACAGTTGCTGTTCTCAATATCATCCAACCCGGCCTATATGGAGGCTGCGAGTTGAACTG